TTCAGTCAGGCAACTTTCTCCTAGAATGCCATCTATGGGCCCTGGTGCACCAAATTTCTCTGACCCACGACCATTTTCACAACTTCATCAGAAAGGCATGAATTCTCCTGCTGTTCAATCATATATCCCCTCTTCAGCATCCCAAGGGCGGAGTAGTTCAGGCTATCCTGCCATGGACAAAAATATGCAATCTCTACGAGAAGTAGAACAGCGAACAGATGGTAATGCAAATCAATTGACTTCATCCAGTTCAGGCACCATCCAGGAAAGGGAACGCTCCTCAATTCCTGTTCCAGGACTCGAGAAGCAGCAGCTACACTTTCAACAGAAATCTTTCCCCATGTATGGAAACAGTGGTAATTATCACCCGTATACTGGGTCAAATATAAATACCTCTTCGTTATCTCTTAAACCCCAACCCCATGAGGGTCAAGCGAAGCAAATTTCCCAGCAGGCTCCCAATTTTGATAGGCAAGTTACTATAAATGATCCGAAGCGAGTCCAGGGTGGAAATGTTTCACACTTACGTAATAACTTAACTTCACAGCCAAGTCCCTGGAAGTCTTCAACAAGTAAAGAGCAGAACACAGGCCCTCTATCTTCAATGAGTTACATTAAACAAGAACCTTCTGATCAGGTTTCTGAGCAGAACAAAACCCAACATTCAAATTTGCAGGGATTGTCTTCTATTCCTAGCATGCAGGCTGAACAAGTTAACACAACCCCTGGAATTGCGAAGGACCCTTTTGAAAAGCAAACTTCTAAAGTAGCTTTTCCTACATCAAACAATGTTATGCCTCAATCATCAACCAACGCAGCAAATCCAATTTCTTCTGATGCAAATTCTCTACACGAGTCTAGTGCTGTGGTATGTATTGGTAGAGTGTACGTTGCTGTCCTACCTTTAGTTTTGTAAAAGTTAAAATTGCATGCTAATGTTCGACTGCACACTTTTTATGTCAGGCAGTAATTTTATGCCTTTCTTTCTGCCCTCGTATCTCATTCTGTTTGTTACAACTTAGGAGCATAGATTTTGTTTTTTATTTATTGAATAAAAATAATTGATAAGTAGTTTATTCTACACCTGGTTCATCAATTTCCTTGCTTAATCTTTTCAAGTCTGTTGCAACAAATTGTGTAAGTGTTTTTTTATGTATTAGATGATTTAATATGTACCTACCTCTGCCATGTCTTGATATTATCTTCGTGAAGCATTTACATCGCTCAATCTTATGCCCTTGGCTTGCTCTTATGATGTATCATCTATTTGCGGACTAATTTTTTTTTTCTTGTTGGGATTTGCAGTTAAGCTCTCAGGTTCCATCTGCAACTACTCCTGGAATGCAAAATAGGGCACCTCAAAAAAAAGGTGCCGTGGGCCAAAAGAAGCCTCTTGAAGCACTTGGCTCTTCACCACCCTTATCAAGGTAAATCTGCTTTCACTTGTCTTAAGTCCTGGAAGTGAAGTTTATTTTGGAATCTTTAGAAACAAATGGGTCATTATTCACAATTAACCTTCTTGATCCTTTCAAATATAATTGACTTGTACCCAACAGTAAGAAGCAAAAGGTATCTGGGGCTTTTTCGGATCAAAGCATTGAACAACTTAACGATGTCACTGCAGTCAGTGGAGTTAATATTCGGGTACAATTCTCATATTTCATGAATGGTTGGTTAGTTCTAGTTGGTTCCAACACAAATGCTCAGAAGAAAAAAATTATGGTTTTGACCAGGAAGAAGAAGAACAACTATTTTCTAGTGCAAAGGAGGATAGTCGAGCTTCTGAAGCATCACGGAAGGTTGTACAAGAAGAAGAAGAGAGGCTGCTATTGCAGAAGGCCCCATTGCAGAAAAAGCTGATGGAAATCAGTTAGTGTCCAATTCCTTAATTAATATTTGGTTTGCTGTTCTGTTTATGTGAAGTTATTTCCGGTAACTGAATGGAAGAAACATCATTCTTCAGTGACTTGTACTAATTGGCGTGTTTGTATGTGGCAGTGGCTAAATATGGTTTAAAGAGCATGAGCAATGACGTTGAGAAATGTCTCTCACTGGTAAGATGCTAGTCACTTCGATCATTTTTTTAGGTGATGCATTAACAGCCTTACAGACAGTAACTGTATCTTCAGAGTGTGGAGGAAAGATTACGTGGGATTATTAGTAATCTAATCAGGCTGTCAAAGCAGGTCAGTGTATTTCCTTTCATTTTAACTCTAGTTTCCTTCGATATCTCTCATTCTGTACTATATTAACTCATAAGCTGTATATTATTGTGTGTTCATACTTTTGATTGATCTCTCCAGCGAGTGGACACTGAGAAACCAAGGCACCGAACGCATATTACTTCAGATGTTCGACAACAAATTATGTTAGTAAACCAAAAGGCCAGAGAAGAATGGGAGAAGAAACAGGCTGAAGAAGAAAAACTCCGTAAGCTTAATGATGTAAGCATTTCGTTTGCTTTCCTTGCCTATGGTCTAACCAGGACTTTGTTCAATAATGAAGAACATGGTATAAATAGCATTCGTATGAAAAATGTAGTACATTGGTAAGCTTTTCTTCTACTTGTTTGGTATTGGCTTGTAGTTCTCTATATTTATTTTTTAATAGGGCTTCTCTATCTTCTTATTGGCTGTCTTTCTCCTATAAATAATATTGATTATGTTTTTGCAAAACGAAGCTCGTCTGTCAAATATTTATGGGATTTGGTATGAAGAAACATAATATAATAACTGCATCATTAATAATTTCCACAAGTGTGGGTGAGAAGTTTTATTTTTCTTCCCTTCCCGGTATCCTTTTTGTTTTACAGTCGCATTATTGTAAATTCTTTTTCATGCAGCCTGAGGATGGTTCAGACATTGCTGGTGACAAGGACAAAGATGAAGGTCGAATGAAATCAGTTAAGGTGTTGCGAGTGCTACTTTATACTACTTTGACATTTCGATTGATTCGGAATTCTTTGGCGATTTTATTTTGTTTTAATATATATATTTTCTTGTGGCTTAGGTAAACAAAGAGGAGGACGATAAAATGCGGACAACAGCAGCAAATGTTGCTGCCCGTGCTGCTGTTGGAGGAGATGACATGCTATCAAAATGGCAACTTATGGCTGAGCAGGCGCGACAGAAACGTGAAGGTGGAATGGATTCTGCTTCTGGTTCTCAGTCGGGGAAAGATACTGTCCGTAAGTCTTCATCAGCAGCAGGAAGACATGGAAAGGACAACCAAGAAGGCGATAGGAAAGGTAACACCACTCCATTTGGCATATCTAATACGGCATTTGATGTTTGTCCAAACTAAAGTAGATAGTCTCATCGTTTTGGGTTGTCATAATCAAACTTGCTTGTGCCTTTGGCCACCACAAATCTTATTAATAAATAACAAAGAAAAGAAAAGAAAAAGATCACAGTTATCCCATGGACATCATAAAATGATATGGAAGTCGAGCTATAGCGAGTTTGTTTCCAGAGAAATGAGTATCACGAACTCTTGTCAGCATCAATAGCTTAATTTTAACTTGTTTATGATAATCATCCATCTACTTTTTTTTAAATTTGATCGCATTCTTTAAATTAGAGAGAGAACAAAGAAAATAAGCAATATTTTAAGCACATCTAACTGGTTTTTTTTCGCAGGAACTTCCAAAAAATTTGGAAGGAACCAAATGAGTGCAAGTCAAACTAGGGTGGCTCGTAGTATTTCTGTTAAAGATGTCATCGCCGTGCTGCAAAGAGAACCCCAGATGTCCAGATCCACCACAATATATCGTTTGTTCAACAAAGTTCGTTCCGAAGCCACCGGCGAATAGAATTGACTATAACAACGGTAAACTAACATCCCTAGAGACGTGCGTCCATTTGGCGGGGTTCTGTCTGTCTGAACTAATGGTATTGGCTATATGATAAACTGCATAGTTTTTGAAATATAACTGCTTAAGTTGGTAGCTGCTGCTAGAACAATTAGAAAAGGACTTCCTCAAGAGCTTGTACAGATTAAAGAAGGCTCAAGAGCTTGCCCGAGAGAGCTCTATTTGCCACAGTTTGGCGCTGATTCGTTTCTGGTTTTCAACACGCCGAAAAGGGGAAAGGGTGATGATTCGGATCTTTGAGCTCATGAGATGGAAGAAGATTGTGTTGATGTTTGGCTTCAATCAATTCCATCGGCTATACACTCCCTTTACCTTCATGATTTAGCTTTTTTTTTTTTAATGGTTTATCTGTGTGTGTGTGTCTGTGTGGGTTCTGAATATTAACGCTATTGGAGTGCTATTATGTAAGCTCCGTGGCGTTTTGTCATTGATGATAAATTATTTTATTCTTCTTTTTTCCACGTCGATGATAGTTCAATGATGGTTTCGAACCTTATATAAATCTTCCCATCTTACAGGTGTTCGTATGACCTGATAATCCGTTCAATTCAGACGACTACCAAACTCAATCTTTCCACGTTGATGATAGTATAATGATAGTTTGGAACCTTCAAACTCAATCTTTCCACGTTAATGATAGTTTGGAACCTTCTATAAATCTTTCAATGCAACCATTACAGGTGTGTTCGTGATAATCCATCCAACTCAGGTTAATTGAAAATTTTGGTTTGGTTTGTGAGTGGGACATTCTCTTAATTAGATTAGGCTTCCAACTCATCTCAAAATTAAAAAAAAAAATTAAGAATATTTGAATTTTATGAAATATGTCACATAAGATATGATATGTATGTGATGCATACATGATAAGGCCTAGGAAGTATGAAAGTGATACTCGTATAATGAATTCTGTGTGCACAGAAAGAGAAACTTTTGAAACTATGTTTGTAAAAGTGAATTTGAATCCAAGACTAGGTTTTAGGTCACAATACCGTCATAATATAGTCATAATATAGTCATGTTTGCATGTATATGCATTTCTCGACCCCAATAGTGAAGTCCCTTACATGATATTTTTACTAGTCGGTGCTACAAATGTGTACGATTATACGAAAATTCAACTAAGGCTTCTTAGGAATGATATTGATAATCCCAATTACTCAGCACCACCAACAGAAGACAGCTGATTTTGAGACACATTGATGTTTGGCTTCTCACATTTGACAGTTATGTGTTGTTCTTCATGATCATCACCATTTATGAACTCTTTGAAGCAAGCAATTCTGCCCAATTCTTCAACTTCATCTATAACATTGTCAAGCTTAGCCACTGTCTCAACAAGCAAAGAAGCAAACGCTGCAAATGGAAGTGCTTCTGAGAACTCAAGGCTTGTGATAGCTATTTTACTTAACTGTGGCCTCAACACCTTCCTTTCAGCCTCCCTTGATTGCTCACTTGCCCGTTTCGTCTTCCATTCCATCAACGCCGATGAGTCGGTTTTCACGCTCGATAACGATCCCCCTGACCTGCAGCGCTTTTGTCCTGCTTCTGCTGCTGCTAATGCTAGCATATTGCTGGCTTTGTTTCTGTTTGAGCCTAGGAACAACCGTGGCTGCGATTTTATCGCTTTGTTCAAGTCTTGTAACGCTTCGTGAAGATGGTCCGAGAGGATCTCTGGTGAACAATGTCGTCGATTACGTATGCTGTTAGCGAGTTCGATCAATGCTTTCGATACTTCCCGCGCAACACGAGTGCAAGGATCTTTGAAAAGGATTCGAACCGATCGTGGGGTCTAGAACGATACAAAAAGCAACTCTTAGATTGTGTCAATCATTGCAAGTACTAGAATTTGAACCAATATGATGCACCTGAATCTCGGTCTGCAGGCAGCCGTGTAGAGCGACGACGGTGTAACCGAAATGGCGGAGAACGCCGCCCAATTTCACATACTGCTGCCATGGGATTCTGTAGCAGTGACTTGAGTGTCTTGGCTCCCAGCTTGCTTGTAATGCCTGCTCAGTTTACAAGCAAATATTGAACAAAGTGCAACAAAAGTCATTCAGAAAAAGGTATCAAAAAAGGCTTTTTCCTACCAAAGATTCATCTATGGATTTTGAGTCTAGAACTGCCTTGTAACCTTTGTAGATTTGGTCCCCTGAACAGCTCTCTTTGTTTTCGTCGATCTCGGTGTCGAAAAAATACTCGTTAACACAGCCTGCAAGTGTGATTATTACGAGTATTAGTTACTTACATTCACATGACAGATGTGAGATCCCACATCGATTGGGGAGGAGAACGAAGCATCTTAAGGGTGTGGAAATCTCTCCCTAGTAGACGCGTTTAAAAAACCTTGAGGGGAAGCTCGAAAAGGAAAGCCAAAAGGGGAAAATATATGCTAACAATGAGCTTGGACTGTTACAAATGGTATTAGAGCCAAACACCGGGTGATGTGTCTGCGAGAAGTCCCCGAAGGGGGTGGAAACGAGTGGGTGTGCCTACAAGGACACTGGAGATCGGGGGGTCTCACATCGATTGGAGAAAGGAACGAGTGAACGCAAGGACACTGGGCCTTGAAGGAGGTGAATTGTGAGATCTCACATTGGTTGGGGAAGCGAACGAAACATTCTTTATAAGAGTGTGCAAACCTCTCCCTAGTAGACGCGTTTTAAAGACCTTTAGGAGAAGCTCGAAAGGGAAAACCCAAAGAGAACAATATCTGCTAGATTTGGGTTAGGGCCGTTCAGACACCGGACGATGTACCAGTGAAAAGGTTGAGCTCCAAAAGAGAGTGGACACGAGGCGGTGTGCCAACAAGGACACTGGGTCCCAAAGAGGTGAATTGGGGGTCCCACATCGATTGGAGAAAGAAACGAGTATCAGCGAGGACAAAACATTTTTTATAAGGGTGTAGAAATCTCTCCTTAGTAGACGCATTTTAGAAATCTTGAGGGGAAGTCCGAACAAAAAAGTCTAATGAAGACAATATCTGCTAGCGGGGGCTCGGGCTATTATAATATAAGGATCATGTGACGATACGTAAAAAGCAAGGTGTTCTTGTTTTGTACCTTCAATGGATTTGGCAAGCCCTTCAAGCTTGAGAACTGTTGAATTATGGAGCTCTTCTCCAGACCAATTTGGGAAGATCAATAAGCTCATCAAAAGGCAGACTCCACAGCCAATGGCAATGGTATACAATCTATCGTGTGCGATTTTCAAGACATTATCGACCCGGTAGCTCGACACCGTTATAAGATTAAACGTCAAGAGAAATATCACCACTCCATAATCATAATTCTTCTTTATTTTGGGAAAGAATCTCATATATGTTGCTGCAGCTCCTGTGACAAAGTTCAAGTTTTAGCATAAACTAAGGATCATTAGCAACAACCTTAAAAGAACAAACAAAGACAAAATTACCTATAAGAAAAACAGCAGCTCCAATGAAACAAGCTCTAAAAACTCTTCCAGATCTATTAGCAACACCCTCAATGAAAAAAGCTAAGGATCCTGCCAATAATGTCCCCAACCCTCTATTGAGTCCTTTGCATAAAGTTGCCCCTGCCATTAAACCATTCAATACATAGCAAGAAACCGATCGAAACGAAACACGACGACTTTTAACTATGAATTTACAATGAAAACTTTAGTTTTTGGTCGGACCCTGATCGAGTTAGATAGAGAAAAGAACGAACCGGCGGTGAACTCTAGAACGACGACGACCGTCATGACAGCCCATGTCGCATTGCTACCAAGCCTTTTGAACAATGGCTCTATTAAGTACAACAAAGAAACAAGTGTGAGAGAGAGACCAACTTTGAGAGAGTGGATAATTCTCCTAGGATCTTCAGCTCCCACTTTCTTGGAGGTTTTCCAACACAAAACAGGAAAGTGTTGGATTTTGTCCATTGTCACTTGGATGTGTTTGTTCACTTGCATCTTCTTATGATCTTCTCAGCATCAACTCTAGGAAGAAACAATGACATGTAATAATAATAATAATTCAATGAACAAAAACCTTAAAAAAAGCTAAAACATAACCAATATGATAAACAAAAATTGACAACATATATGTTTTTTGATCTAAGTTGGTGTAATAAATTGGAAGTTCTTGTGTTTTTTGAGAGAACCCCAAGTTTTTTTTGTAGTGGGTTTGATATGTCACTTTATATGCTCATGTCTCGAGAGAGAGAGAGAGAGAGATGGAGAGTCACATGTAGTGCAATAAAGTCCACAAGTATTTGAAGGGTAGGTTGCCATTTTTAAGCCAAATGTCAACTCAAAAGTGGAAGCTTTTACAACTATTTTCTCTTGCAAATGGTGAACTACTCGAGCCCAATTTTCATGATGATTTTGTTTACCATCAATGAAAAAAAACTAGAAACAAAATCGAGATTAGGATCGTTTCTAAGAAACACGAAGGGATCAAATTGAGACGAATCGAGCACCGTCCAAGAGTTGACTAAAATGAAATTGGGAAGTAGTTGGAAGTTATTATAATCAACATGAGAGTTTTGAAGTGTGAGATCCTACATTGTTGGAGAGAGGAACGAGCGTCAACGAGAACATTGGGCTGGGTGGGTTGTCATGAGATCCCACATTAGTTGAAGAGAGGAGCTAAACATTTTTTTATAAGAGTGTGAAAATCTTTCCTTAGTAGATGCGTTTTAAAAGCCTTGAGGGGAAGCCGAAAGGGAAATCCCAAAAAATACTATTTTCTAGCAGTGGGCTTGGATTGTTACAGTTGGTATCAAAAGCGTTTAAAGGGTGTGAAAACCTCTCTCTAACAGACACATTCTTTATAAGGGTGTATATTGTGAGATTCTACATCGGTTGAGGAGGAAAACGAAACATTTTTTATAAGGGTGTGGAAACCTCTCCTTAGTAGATGCGTTTTAAAAACCTTGACGAGAAGCCCGAAAGGGAAGCCGAAAGAGGATGATATCTGCTCGTGATGGGCTTGGACTGTTACAGTTGGTATTAGACACATTTAAAAGGTGTGAAAACTTTTCCCTAACTGACACATTCTTTATAAGGGTGTAGATTGTGAGATTCCACATCAGCTGAAGAGGAGAATGAAACATTGTTTATAAAGGTGTGGAAACCTCTCCCTACCAGACGCGTTTTAAAAACCCTGAAGGAAAGTTAGGAAGAAAATGCTCAAAAAGAACAATATCTATTAGCGGTGGATTTGAGCGATTTGAGTTTGAGCCGTGATTAAAGTTGAGAATGAGTGATTAGTTATGATTAAAGTGTTGAAATGTGTTGGTTTAGCTGTGCACCGTCCAAGGGTTGACCAAAGAAAAAGCTTGAAAGGCAAAAGAGTTCTTCACAAAACAAAACTCTCCTTTTAGCGTTGTGAAGATGACAAAAACTTAAAGCTCCAAAAAGAAACAAACTCCCCTCCTTTTCTAACTTTCACGAGCTTTGCTCCTTTCTCTCATGCATGGCTCATTTTTACCCTAATGATTCCGTTCAGCTATTTTCCGCTTACGATTTTATTTGGGGTCGAGTGTGTATATATTATATAGCTAGTTGAGTTATGGATTTTATTCAGAACGAGAGATTTCGAACCTCAAAACAGGTATAGCCAGTCATGCACTTACGAAGCATAGATATGTGGAACACGTAATGTAGGGATGGTGACAAAACCAATCGTTCTAACATGTTATCAGAGCCATGCCCTAAAAACTTAGTCATGTCAATAGAATCCTCAAATGACGTACTTTGTTCGAGGGAAGATGTTGGGTGAAAGTCCCACATCGGCTAATCTAGGGAATGATCATGGGCTTATAATCAAGGAATATTATCTCCATTGTTATGAGGTTTATGCTCAAAGTGGACAATATCATACCATTGTGGAGAGTCGTGTTCACACTCTTCATCTATGCCTCATTCAAGTATACATTATTGCCTACTTCAAATTTTAGGTTCATACACCTTACATCGACTTAACTTTTCTATCTGTTCTAGATCGTTCATCTTCATTCTAGTTTTTTTCATGGTTTCATTGATAGCTTGAACCAACTCCAATCCTCAACAATGTTAAATATTATTAATTGTCTAAAACGATAGCTATACTAACATTTTGTTACGTTGGAAGCGATGATGTGACAAAGATGAGTATGGGGCTTGAAATGGATGGAAATGGACAAAGGTGTTAGGGGTTTTATGGGAGTTGAGGGGTCATGGGTAGCTTGTGATCAAAGATGAGTATTGATTTCTTACCACATAAACCCATTTGGTATTATTTCATCCCATTTTTTCTTTTCTTTTTGGGTATAAAAATACGAACGAATTATTCTTTTTCTAAACATCATTTGCAAGCAAGGAATCGATATTGGAAGCAAGTTATGTCGGTAACCATATGTGTTTTGGATAGGAAATTCATTCGAAATCTACGTTAGATCTCATGCTCAGAATCAGAAAAAAAAAAAAAAAAAAAAACGATCTTTAGCTTCAGAAGTGCCCAAGGCACCGGGATGGAATTGACAACTCCAACTTAAGTTACTCAGGTAATTGGCTCTACTATTGACATGGTTTGATGAATTGAATGAAGTATAAACGGCACGTGCCCTATAGCCCCTCCATGTGCCATATTTTATGACAGACGACGTATATTATGTTATATTGTGCTATGTTTATGTGATGATATGTTATGACTCATGTTATATTATGATATGTCATGTACACCATGTTAATAAGAATCTTTTCAAGACTAAAATGTTGTTATGCCAAATAAAAAACGAATATACGATAGGCATATCATATGATTTAAAGCTTGGAGACTTCATGCATTTTTGTATAATCATGTGCATTGAGATACTTCCCCGTTATGATGAGTATGAGCATGTACATTACGATATTTATGTTCGTTGTGATATCTTGCGAGCTCCTTTCCCTCCGTGGCTCCAGTAGCATGCGTACGCAAGTTTGTGTAGAGGAGTACTACACATCCAATTTTTAGCCTAGATTGGAGAGTGGAGTTCAACACCATAAAATGTTCTTATGAAAGGATAAGTCCCTCTATGATTGTTTGTATATGTATTTTCTGACCCTAATAGTGAGGTCATCTAGTGAATATTTCTTAAAATACATCGCTACCCTTATTTTTCAAGTAAGGGCAAGACGTCTCTACACGGATGACAATGTCACGGTAACAGCTATGAGACTAAGGTTAGGGTATATGTGTTTCATGTTATTTATAGTTTTTTTTTTTTTTTTTTTCATTTATCTACATCAACAAGATGCACCTTCCTTTATGGACCGCTTAATTATAAGAACTTCATAGTCAATCAGATAGTTTACATGTAACAATTTTATGTTGGGTGACTTACGAAATTTTTTATGATACATGTGAGTGAGAACAAAACATCCTGAAAAAACTCTGTTGATTTGTGGAAATAGTCTCTACTCTTTAAGAACGAGGAGTAGGTAATGTGATCATGTCGAGGCAATCATATATCAAAATGAATTTATAATGAGTCATGGATTATTTATACATCAAGAAATGAATTGTGAATTGGAAGTTTATATCAAATTACAAATTGGAAGCCCCAATCGCCATGGATGCTACCTTCAAGCAAAACCCACTTCCATCTCCCGTCATAGACACTGTCAACGAAATCACTAGAATTTTCCGATCACTTCCGGCCAGACCCTCCATAGAAGAGGTCGAAGCAGCCGTGGCGATTCTCAATACTGTTCAGAACGACGAGGATTTCAAATTGGGGGAAATTTCAAAGCAGGAAGTCCCTCAAAATGTCCCTGAACAGCTCTTCTCTATTTTGCAGCAGATGAGGAAGATGATGGTGTTGTTCGAGAGGCATGAACAGAGGCGAGAGGCCGTTCGTTTGATTGAGATCGATAAGATGCTGAAAACCTTCGATGAACTTATTCTGAGAGCTTCTGATTTGGTTTCTGGCGATTCTCAGGGCCAGAGGGATCTGAATTTGAGTGATCCAGTTGAGAAAATTGCAAAGGAGATGGTAATCAGTGATCAAAATTTGGAGAAGAATAGGGGAGATGAAGAATTTGAAAGCAATGGAAATAAGGATTTGGTTAAGAATTCTTCATTCATTCCTCCATTATCTTCTTCAGGTAGATTTCGAACTCTCTCTCTGTTGATTTTCTTTTTTTCCTTGTATGCGATACTTTCTGTGATATGAAGTTCTCTGTAATTAATTAGCATTTGATCTTAGTTTGATTCATGAAGTTGTGATAATACCCTATTTCCTTTGTGATTGGGGAGGTTTAGCTTTGATTTGAGTTCTGAATCCTGATCCATAGGTTGCTACTGAAGTTTAATCAACTAGATGGATAAGAAAAGACTTTTTAGTTGATTGATATTTGAAGAGATGATTTGATAGAATAGAAGAGAGTGTAGTTGTGAGATCTCACATCGGTTGGAGAGGGGAACGAAGCATTCCTTGTAAGGGTGTGGAAACCTCTTCCTAACAGATGCGTTTACAAAACTGTGAGGCTGACAGCGATACGTAATGGGCCAAAACGGACAATATTTGCTAGCGGTGGGCTTGGGCTATTACAAATGGTATTAGAATCAGACATCGGGCGATGTGCCGGTGTCCTCGCTAGACCCCAAAGGGGTGGATTGTGAGATCTCACAATTGGTTGGAAAGGGAAACAAAACATTCCTTATAAGGGTGTGGAAAACTCTTCCTAACAAACACGTTTTAAAAACCTTGAGGTTGACGGTAATACGTAACGGCTCAAAGCAGACAATATCTGCTAGCGGTGGGCTTGGAGGATTTGGACTCTTACAAATGGATCGGGTAGTGTGCCACCGTGGACGCTAGGCCTCGAAGGGGGTGGATTGTGAGATCCCACATCGGTTGGAGAGGGAAACGAAACATTCCTTATAAGGGTGTGGAAACTTCTTCCTAACAGATGCGTTTTAAAAACCGTGAGGCTGACGGCGATACGTAACGGGCCAAAGTGGACAATATGTGCTCTTGTTACAGTAGAATAAAGTTCAAACTTTCGTAAACATGCTGTTGACATAACTTTGTTTCGGATAGAACTTGTTTCCCATGGATTCCAAAAGTTCAATATCTTCACTTCTTATCCATCTCTTTTCATTGTCTTATTAAGTTTGTATTGTTA